TCTTGGTTTCTACAATATACATTATAAAACAAGGAAGATATTTTGGCTTCATCACCCCCCAAAAAGCGTTTTTTTCTAATACACACACATTATATAGGTCCTTGGCTGTATGTGAATAATATACATACCTATGTTAATGATAATAAGCAGAAAAGTAGTAATTATATTGACCCCATTGGATTTCAGAAAATACCAAATTTAAAGACAGGTTATTAAACCAAAGTTTTGACAGTTCCCAATTTCCCCTCTAGGAAAAACTAGCACTGTGTTATCTATATAGCTTTGGGAAGGGAGTTGAAGATGGGATTACACACATGTACACATCTATGTATATATGTCTCTCCACACTCAGCTATAACTTCCCAAGGAAAATTAATTTTTAACGTCTATCTTGATCCAAGTTAGGTAATTTTAACAACGCAGCTAGTGTAGCCATAATTCAGTCTTCTCAGGCAGTCAATTCAAGTGGGTAACAAACAGATCTGTTTCCATTCTAGCATTTCCTAATAGTAGTTTCATGGTGAAGTAAATCACATTTAGTGCTAAGGAACCAAATATAAAATATGAAAATTTAATGCAGCTAAACTTTAAAAAATTGTTGAGGATGCAAAGGGAGTGTTTAAATTGGCCATGTTACCAAATTCTAAAACTTTTGTACAGAAGTGTGCCTCCGAAAGGTTTTCTTTTGCGATTATTTGAAGTCCATAGTGGACTTCATAGTTACCAATCCTTCCCAACATCTTTCATTCAAAAGAGAAATAATATTACAGGAAGAATCCAGTTTTGTTTAAGAAATATCCAAAGGGATGAAATGGGGAAAGGAATAGGAAAGGGAAGAGGGAAGGATTTCCTGAGCTTTTCTACTGATGACTTGAATGAATCTGGAGTTAGTGTCACCTGTCAGAGGATTTCTCCCTGAGCATATTATTTAGTAATAGAATTTACTGTTGTATGTCATGTTCAGTCTTTCATAGATTATCTTTTTTATTTGCATGTAATTTGTTTCTTCTGACATGTGACGCTTATAATACTTATTCTTCTACCGATGACTCCTCTGTCTGTCAAGTGTGTACACATATCATAAGTAAATGATAGCCAATGCTCATAAAATGAGGAAACTGTTTTCCAATCATGTCTTAGAGAAATCAGACTCACTAATTTGTAGTCACCTCAATGGGATGTTGTTCCTATGTCTCTTATTTGGCTAATGTTAATAGTCTTCTAATCTACACAATTGGCTGATTTTCCAGTTTTCATATTTTGCATTATGAATCAATATATAGAAATTAGGGAGTACTTTTTTAAAATTAAAATTATCTTGGTTAAAAACCTTTCCTAGAATATAATTAAGGTCAAGTATCTTTTTATATTCATTTTTCTAGAAATAATAACTCATCATTTTTTAAAAATAAGGATTGTCCAATGTTACTTAGGCATTTTGGCCCTCTGGCATATCTAATTGAAGTGATTCCAGTAGAAAAGCTAATTTTTTTCTGCCTTCAGTTGCAGGCACAATTGATTTCTTAGAACTAACTAGAAGATTCTCAAGTATACTGATAGTTTAGATTTTCTGGTTCTTCTGAAAGCCAATTAACTGGTAATGCAGTTTCTGTATGTTTTCTTCAAATTAAGAAATTTTTTAATGTACTACAACATCTGCATGTGTTTATCTTTGAGAATAATCACTATATAATTATTTCTAAAAGCATGCATTATTACAATGCTTTATGTCATAATTGAAGTAATTCTTCTACCCCATCTAAACCAGTAATTTTCAGTCATTACCCCAAAGGTGTTTATTTTATCTTACTTCACTATTTCTCAAAAATATAGGAAGTGTGTTTTTATTTCTATTATTTTTTATTATTAAAGGGCACACACTAACTTATTAGATTATTATATTTAGTCCGTTATTGTGCTAGCATGTATGCAAACTTAATTTATATAATAAAGATAGTGGAATACTAAAGACATGATGCTAAATAAAACACACGATCTTTTCAAACAATTGGATAATGTTTTTTAGAATTTAAAAACTGCGTGTTGTATAAACCTGTGTAAGCATTCATATTGCCAGTTGCCTCCAGGAAATAGTTTCAAATATTTCTTAATTATCTAAAAATATTTAGGGAGTCTTTAAGTAGGACATGTGTAAAGTGCCAAGTTTGGGCACTTTGTTTTAGTTCTATAGATGAGAGCTGTCTTAGTACAACTTCTACTGAGGAAAGGAGAACGCGTATCTGGTATATTGTTGTAGAAGTGGAATACCCAAGTATAAACAACCCCCTCTGGTAATTACTTTTATTTTCTACTGGTTCTAGCAGTCTTTAACTATAATCCATTGTGCCCCTTCTTCAGACATTGAATATAAAAAATAAACACAGCGTCTTTCCCACAAGACATAGTTGCTCATCCTACAGAATTATATCTGGGGAAGAGACTTCCAAGAGATCACCAAATAAGCCTTTGCCATGGAGTCGAAACCCCACACTACCCAAGACAGGCACACCAGGTCCCTTTCTAACCATTGAGAGTATGGGTACAAAAATAAATACACGCAGTGTTCCTTCTTTCACTAACTGCACGCTGCACCTGTGCACACATGTATCTAATGACATCTGCTAACAAAATAAATCTCAAGTGGTTTGTGGTGTCATCAAAAACCTGAGATGGTGGTATGGCTCACAGCCCCCCCAACCCCCAACCATGGTCTTGTTAAATTTCACAGGCAAAACAGAGACAGACTTAGACTCATTCTGTACAAGAACCAGAGGTTTTCGAGAGCAGGTTGAGGTGGTTTACCAAAAGGGAAAAAAAAAAGGAAGAAAAAGCTTCTAGTTATGACTCAGTGTGTGAAAAATTTGCTCTCCGATTCAAGGGTGATAAATCAAGGATGTCTCCCAGCTTTGAAAACACCATTTTTATCGCAATCGTTGCGAATTCTCAACTCGAAGTATCCACCCTTCCCTAGCCTACTTATGTTCTGAAGACTTACTTTAGGAAAGAAAAGCTAGGAGCAGTTAAATCTTCCTATCTTGCTTACTCACACTTTTATATAACTTTAGTTTCAACCATCAAAATGCCCATAAAAAGAAAACAATAAACTTGAATGAATTTAGGCTGTAATGATGATTAAATTGAGCAAAGGAAACACAAGTGTTTTCTCAAAAAATGTTCGGGATATTTTGTACCATATGTAAGGTTTCTGAAACAACAGAATCACTAAGGTATTTTTTTAACCATTTTCAAAAAACAGAAGCATCTGGCAATCCAGAAATCAGCGAGGCAACAGGATGTAAGAAAGCGCTAGACAGTCTACTGATCCTTCAGTATAGTCCTGGCAAAGGACCATCCTGCCTTTTGCTCAGTGGGCCATTTTCAACAAGAAAACGAAAGTCAAGCCCCCCGCGTCCACATCCGGTGGCTACTTGTCCTCAGGGTCAAACATGCTTCTTGGCATATCTAGAACATGGCGACATCGTTTCAAATTGCCCACTAGTAAAGAAGATCAATAACCCCATTTTGTGTCTTTATTCTGTAACTAAGAAAGCCTTGATACAGCCTAAGGCATAGAGGAAGAATGCAATTCTTCTACAAACATGGATCACATGCTTCCTGTGGGTCTCGACCTAGGGCTGGGCACTCCCGTACAAGGATGAATACATTTTTGAAGATTTCTGCATTTATGGTACAAAGGCCTTCCACTGCTTTGTGCTAATATTCTCTTCTACATTAGTCAAAAAAAGAGTAAACTTCCCGTGGGTTATCTTAAAAGCCTTCAAATAAACACACTAAATAACCACCTTTGGGTTTTTTGCTCACTTTACAGGTAGTTGATGTGGGTTTGTAGAATGAAAATAGTGTGGATAGAAACCAAAGAAAAATGTAATTAGGGAAGATCAGTTAGGTGCCCTTCCCCACCCACCCACTGAAAACAAAACCAAACCCTCGAATAATGCACACAAAAGCCAAACTAACAAAGTCAGGAAACTTTTGATACCACTATTCTTCATGATGTGGGAAGTGTTTTTATAAACAACAGGGGGGGGGGAAAGAGGAGCAATGTTAGGTGGAAAAACTCTGGCGCCCAGGGTTTACCTACGTGAAATTAACACTGTCTTAATAGCTTATTGTTTAAGGATGGTTGACAAGCAAATACACAGAGCAGGGTAGAAATACAAGTTTCAGGAACATACCTAATATCACAATCCCTCCCATTTTCTCTTCAGGTCAGGCACCATTCTAAGCTGTCCTCAATATTACTTTCACCGTTATCTTTTTAATTTTTTTTGTTATTACACATGTTTCTTGTTATTACACAAGCAAACAAGAGTGAGACCCTTTGTTTATTTTTTTCAAGAGTAGAGACACTTTAAGTGGACAATTAGCAAAATGTAAGTGACATCCACCCCCAGTACCATCACCTTAAAAACCTGTTTCATTTACATATATTCCAATCCAGTATTTGCTTCTGTGCTCGTATATTACTTGGCAGAGTTATAAGATCGTAAGGTCGATAGAATTTTGTTCCGTAACTCTTCCATTTAACCTTCTATTCCTATCCTTGATATTAGCGAAAGGGTGCAAAATTGTTAAGATGCTGAAACTTAGAAGAGACTTTGAGGACTTCTAGACAAGAGATGAAGAAAACCAAACTGGCAGCATCCGGCGTTTTGCCCTGTCATCTTTTGAATGTTGGAATTCATTTAAAAGGTTAGGGCAGAGTCGCTGCCCCCTTTAGATGGGGCCTGATCTCCTGGGCCCCCTGTCACATTCCACTGGCCCGCTTTCCTCATGTGGGTCTACCCGCTGCCTCTCACACCCACAAGTTTACAACCCTTAATCTAAACCAACTGCTCTTCTTATAGATGAGAAATCAAAATAAGGTTCAGGGAGATAATGACTTGGTTAAGGCTATGAGGCTAATTAACAGCCCCGCTGCTGTTAGAGAAGAGGCCCTCACTCTAAGCAAGGGCTCTTTTTATTAATGTTTATTTCAGAGCATGTGAGAAGTGGAGTCCTATGATTCCTCATGACAAACCCACCAGAACTACTGTGACCTCAAGCTCCTTTATATGCCGAATCCCAGGTTAACCACTCACCACTTTTTATGCTCCAGGTCATAATTAACATTTGATGTCCAAGAGCCAGACACCTGAACCCCCATAAATCCTGGCCATACTCACAGTGTTTGTTCTCTCTTTAAAAAGAAAAATGTCAGAATGCAAGTGGGGGAGCTGATTACTTTATAGAGATAATGTCAAATCTGCTCTCCTTGGTAGAATACTTTACAGTATTCCTATCAGACATATCTCACAAAAGTGTGATGTTCTGCCCCTACCCTAGTAGACAACCACTGTTCTAGAAAATCTAAAACTCCCCGATGGGTGCAGCGACTGTATTTTCTGAATGTTGAATCAGGACACATGGTAAAACTAAGATCTTTTTTGGAAATGAAGTCAAGATTTTGGAAAGTTTTACACAAGTTTGTAAAAATGAATCATTGTGAGCTATGGTTTAATGAATGGGTTTCATGAAATACAATAAACATGTACACCATCTAGGAATGCCTGATCTCTATGTTAATGTAGGCAATTAGAAATTTGCCCAGGCATAGGATTTGATGACAGGGACTGCCATGTTATCATTGCTGCTGGTGTCCTGTGCAGTTTGCTTGTAGTGTTTCGTTCATCAGACCAGACTCTCTAGGTTCTTCTCTCAAATGGACATCAGTGAACACCTCCCACATATGACATCACAGAGTCAACACAGTAAATAACCAATAAGTTCGTACATTACGTGCATGGGGAAAGGCACAGAAGATCTCCATATTCGATCAGGCTCTAGGCTCATTCACATAAGTGACCTTCGTGACCCTTTTTCTGGCCAGCACACCATCTTAGTTGAGCAGGGTGGGCACACCCTGTGCACATGGGAGGCCAGACCCTATGGGCCAGGTTTCCCTGCAGTCCAGAGATGCAGGCTCCTTCCAGCGCATTTTACATGACTACCTACAAGCTGGATCTTCTCTTCTGCTATGACCAACGGCAGCACCTTAATTAAGCAAGGTCTCCCCTAGGGCAACGATTTTCCCCAACCTTAGGTTAAAATGAGTGTCATAACAAGTGATAATAATTACCACATACTCAGATCGAACCATGGCTCTGCTCTGTGCTCAGTAGGTCACCTTCATGATCTCAGCTCTTTTAAAGACGAGGAGCCTGAGGCTCAGGGAGGTGAGTAACAGTGAAAGGTTATGGGACTCCTAAACCAGGGCTTTCTATTTCCAAAGCCTCTGGCCAAAGCTGACCGGTACCTGCAGCGAGGACCTAGTGCAAGACTGTAACCACCCAGGCGAGTGTGGCCCCTTCACAGGAGTGGGCCTTGGAAGGCTTTGCAAGTATTCCTTAAAGCATTTTTACCACTCTTCTTTTGCAATTGCCTTTAGAACTCGAGGCACATTCTTTTAAATATTATCAATGGGATAGATCTTCCTCCTTTGAATGTGGATTTGAGTTTTGGATATAGCTATGATTCATTCAATACCCCGTGGTGATGAAAGAACCTCTCAAGCTGGGCAAACCAGTTTAGGGCGCAAACAAGGCATGACAGAATGTAACAAGATTATCTTCATTCTCCAGCATTTCTGAAGGAATGGAATAGAGGAATGGAAGTGAATAGACTTGGACTTAGACACCCCACGGTTGGGGGTTCAAATCCTGACCTAGTCACTCGAAAGCTATGTGATTCCGGGAAAGGCATGTAATAATTCGTAGCCAAGCTTGCCTGATCTTCAAAAAGAGCATAAAAATCTAAAGTACCTGCTTCGTTGTTGTTTGGGAATCAAAAAAATCTTGGATGTCAAAATATGTGTCAAAATACGTCAAGATGTGTCTGAAATGGAGTCCTTTCTCAAGAAATATTTCTTGAACCAGATTATCAGGTGATTATTTGTCTCTGTCCTTGTCCTTCAGATGCAGTGAGAGATGGTCAACAAGAGTTACCATGGTCTGTGACAATGACCAAACGTCAGGGCTCCTCCAAGTGCCACTGGGCCTGGCATATAGCCTTTATTTGCAATTAGAATTTAAAAAGCAAGATGGAGGTCCCGAGTTCCCCCTTGCAGAGATGAAGTTGAAGGAAGCTGTGGCGTAGTCTGAAGTTTGTGGTAGGTAGTTTCTATCTAAAGTTTACTCCTAGACTCTCCAGAACAGTGGGAGATATAATTGTAGCTTGAGCAAGGGCCCTTCCTACCCACTTACGGAATGCCTGCCCTGTGGCAGGTTGAGGCTCAAGGTGGGACCGGAAGGTTGCTCCTGTCGTCAAGAACAGTGTCCAAAGGGCTGGTTAGTGACAGTCATGGAACAATGCTACCCAAATGATAAAAACTGAGAACGCTCTAGAACCCACTGACACAAACAGTGTCGTTCATCTATTGACTAAGATGTCGCAACTCTTTAGGCACCAAATAAGCACCTGCTGTGTCCAGGAGTTCAAAGTGAACAAAACCAACAACATTCTAGCATGGAGGAGAGAGAGACCTGGAAATGGGAGATGGGGAAGAAAATACCGGAAGAGTTAACAGAAATAGAAGCCTTGTATAGTGTTGCTCTGAATTCATACACCTGTCAGGTTTCTTTGTGGAGTCACAAGGGTGATTGGAGAATTCCAGAAAATTGGTAGAGAGGGGTTTATCAAAAGATGGGAAAGAGGAGTGTCAAAGCATTTTGCAACATACAACAAATCAGGGGTATCTATCTACTGAAAATAGGGGATGGGAGCAGCCTCTGAGGGGCTCTGTGGAGCTTTGGCAATTGATCTAGAACCTTTAAACCTGGTTTATCCTTTGCAGTACCCCATAGTACAGGTACAATATTATTTCCATTTGACAGATGAGAAAGCTAGGGTACAGGGAAGTAAATAACTTACTCAAGTCCAATACCTCTCAAGTGTCTGAGGCAGGATTTGAACCTAGGTAGGGTGGTTCCAGACTATTGGGTCTTAGCCAATTTCATACAAATTTTTCTTCTCCCCTACATGCCCCAGCCTCAATGGAGGTGCTTTGCCCAACCTTGAAATCTCTCCTCCGTCCTGTGGGGCTCATTCTAGGCCTCACATCTCCCTAACAGGGAGCCATAATGTGGGCAACCTTAGCACAACTGTATAGCATGACAATGACGTCTGACCAAGACTTAGTCCCCAAGGAGAAAGGAAGCAGCCGAAGCCTTGGCTTAATGCTTTGGATCCCTCCGGGGTGAGATACAGTGACTGCCCAGTCCCTCTTCCTGTGCTTTAGAGAAATGAATAAATGGCTACCCAATCACACAGTGTAGGAACAAAAAGAACAAACTTCTCTAGAGCATGCATGTAGAAAAGGGCACATCCTAGGTGTGCAGCTAGAGAACTGATCCGTGTCAACCCCATGCACATGAAGAAGTGGAAAACTGCTGGCAACCCAGAAACACATTCAGCTCTCTGCCAAGACAACCCCACCATCCCTCCCAAAGATACCCACTGTCCTGATTCTAACATACAAAGTTATATAGTCTGGTTTTCCTCATACAGAGGAAGCATATGATAGTTGCTTTTTTATGGCTGAACTACTTCGGTCAACATTTCATATGATATTCCTTCTTGCTATTGCAGATAAGAAATGTCCTCCCCGCCTCCACTTTGCAGTATGGATTCTATTGTATGATATTTTGTATGTATGTATGTGTAGTGTATGATATTTTGCAGTATGAATTCTATTTTATGAATACAACACAATTTATCTACTCTTTGTGGGGTCTTGACAATCCCTGGGTTATTTCCAGTTTGGAGCCAATACAAGTAACAGAGAGATGGTCATACTTCTACCTGTGTTCCAGAGTTCATACGTAGGCATTCTCTTGACTAATAGCAATTTTCATACATAATGCCAAATAGACCTTCTAAAGTGATTGTACTAATCTACACTCCCAGCAACACTGCATGAGAGTTCTGGTTGTTTTACATGTTCATCAACACTGTTTAATTGGTCTTTTTTTCTATTTCTGGAGTATAGTATCTCAATGTGGTTTTAATTTGCATTTCTGGATGACTGATGAGGTTAGCTGCTTTTCATCTGTTTATTGGCCATTTGGACAGCTTCTTTTATGAAATGTCTGTTCAAATATTTTGCCCATTTTTAGTTGGGTTTTCCTGTGTTTTTCTTATTCATTTGTAGGTGTTCTTTATACATTCAGGACGTGAGACCTTTGTCCTTTCCATCTGGTGCGGATTTCTCTCTTATTTTGTAGCTTGCGACTTCACTCATTCAGTGTTGTAATGTTTTGGGGAGTTTCTAAAAAGCACATTTATTAATTCTTAGTGCCATATAATAAATGGTACATATTTAAGGTGTATGACTTGGTAAGTTTAAACATATGTATATACTAGTGAAACCATCACCACAATCAAGAGGGGAAATGTTTCAATCACCTTCGAGGGGCTTTCTGTGCCTCTCGGTAATCCCTCCCAACTGATCTGCTGTCTGTTATTATAACTTGGTTTGCATATTTTAGAATTTTATGTAAATGGAATCACCCAACAGGTACTCTTCTTTTGTCTGGCTGCTTTCATTCAGCATATTTTGACATTTATTCACGTCGTTATGTATATCAATAGTTCATTTATTTTTACTATTTGAGTAGAATTTCATTGTACGGCTTGGCATAATTTAGCCATCACCTGTTGATGGACAATTCGATTGTTTACAGTTTGGGGCTCTTACAAATAAAGGTGCTATGAACATTTCATGTACAGGACTTTACATGGACATAAGCTTTTTATTCTCTCGGGTAAATACCTAGGAATGAAATTTCTGGGCATGTGGTAGGTATCTCTTTAAGGGTTTAACTTTTTAAGGAACTGTCAAACGGTTACCCAAAGTGGCTGCACCATTTCACAATTCCATTAACAATATATGAGAATTCTAGTTCCTTCATATCCTCACCAACTTAGTATGATCAAGTCTTTAATTTGTCACCATTCTAATAGCAATGTAGTGTGTTCCACTACCATTTTACTATTTGTTTCCCTAATATTTGTTTCCCTCATGACTAATAG